TAGGCGACCGCGCCTGTGTTTTCACCAGAGCCCGGGGTTTCCCGCTTCCCAAGCGCAGGGGATTTCCTCCAACCCCGGACGCTCTTCGTGGGAACAGACTCCAGGGCCAAGAGACAGTGAACCGGAGAAAACAACACACGTTGGCGACGTGTGCATTTCGTGCGTGAGTGGCAGGCACCGGGAGTGAGTGGCTCTCCAAGAGACGGCTCGCGGTGGCGGGAGGCTGCCAGGAGAGGGAGGGGCACGCCTCATCGACAAGGGTACCTGCGTGATCAGGGCTTGCAGACCTAACCCTGAATTGTACCCCACATCTTTAAAAACATGTGGCACATATCCACGATGGAATACTACGCCGTCATAAAGAAGGGCAAAACTGTGAGCTTCGCAGCAACGTGGGTGGACTTAGAGTCGATCATACTGAGTGACCGATCACAGAAACAAAGAACTGAGGGCCACATGTTCCCACTCGCAAGCGAACCCTGGAAGATTATCATAATACTATGAGAAAGGGATTAGCCGTAGTGGGAAACTGCCAGGGAAGGGAGAAGAGGGACCACACTTATCAATAAGGGCAGCTTATCTCAAACCAGGTGGCGAGGGGACCAAAGCGAGGCCCAAACTTTCCCTGTACAATCACCATTTGTATCCCTGGCCCTGAACTGCACCCCACATATTTAAAGTAATTTTTTAAAAAAGAGATGGCTCTCACAGCGTCTTCCACAAAGAACACTGGATTTTTAAAATGGCAAGACAACGGAATAACTTGGAGCCTCTACAGGTGGCCACCTGTGGCAAGGCCAATAAATGGCAGATAAAGGCTAGTTAGTCAAGCTAGTTAATGCAGATTCTGCTGGTACCGTCCCCAGGCCATCCAGGTTGGAGGTTGTCTTCAGTGATTAACGTTTGTCTCCCTGGTAGAGAGAGGGGTCAGATACCTCTTGTCTTTGTCAACCTGTGACCTATTTTTAGGCAGATAGGGCCAGACAGAGAGCTTTTCTGAGCCAGCTATATGTCTTCCACTCAACAGTCCTTCATATTTGGGAAGGGGAAGGTTCCAGCCTCCCATGCAGTATGCACAGCATTCCCTTAACTCTGCCAAGAGCCCTAGTATTCTGATGATGGTGCAGGGAGCGCCCAGGCCCCAGGGAGAGCTGCAATCTTTAAGGCTCCTTGGATAGGAAAGTTTCCCCGGGGGAGGAGCCCCACAGGGTCCCTCAATACAGGTGTGGCCGGGAAGGTGTGACTGTCTTCTGGCTGCTCCAATTCTCATCTTCACTTGGGCCTTGTCACTAGCTTACAGTGTGGCCTTGAGCACATCTCAGGACTTCTCTGGCTCTCAGTGTTTTCTTCTGTAAGATAAGGAAACCATCATTTTCTTCATCCTGTTTAATTCAGGTACGTAGACTCAATGGATGCGTGTTTTGTGCTGGATCAATGTGAAGCGTGGGCTGCTGGGATGAGCAAGACAGACCACGGCCTGCATGGCTGGTAGGGAAGCCGACCTACAAGGTGAGTGAAAGGATTTAGTCATTTTGCCTCAGCATAACCATTAGAAAGCGTTCAGACATTCTGCTGCAGGACAAGCAGGCAGCCTATCCCATCCGCCTGGGCAAATCTCCATCAGATGCAAGACCAGGACAGCCCAACCTTTCAACTCATGGTTTAGCACGATAATCTCGAGTAAGCTTTTAGGTTCCTTGTCAAGGCCCAAGATCAAAGATCATCCTTTGGCTGGCCAAAGTCATAAAAGTAATAATACGATCACCTTTGGTCAAGGAGTTTGTGAGTTGCAAATGTCTGAGTGTGTCAATTGCAAATGTCTAACAAGTCTCGAGCAAACCCCCCCCCACCCCGGTTAACCTAATCAGCCCTTTGTGACCTACATGACAGCAATCATGTGTCTAACCCACCCATCCGCTTGGTGTCTATCACCTGACATCAGTACCTGCACTTGCCTGCCCCTTTGTGATGACGTGGAGCCGACCACCACCCAATCACCTTATTGATCTTTCCCCATCAAGGGGAAGGGTTAAAAGGACTCAACCACAAGCAACCAGCGGCCATTGCTTCTGGTGTGGCCATGTGCTCTTTGAGCTATGGCTGTCACCATGCTTCCTGGCTTTGGCCCCCTCTCCCACCTTGGGGAGGTGAATCTTCTTTCTTCCTTCTCTTTCTTTCTCTAATTTACTTTTAAATAAACTTTTCTTTTTTTAAAATCTCTGTGTGTGTTGCAATTCTTTGCAATTACTTGGACTAACAGTGAGGACTATTAAACAAAGAAATTGCTGGGGACCATGAAAGCACACAGCAAGGGGATGTAACCCCATCCCCATCCAGTTAGGATGTGTATGGGCATTTACCTCACACATATCCTAACTATTAGGAAGTGAGGGTTGCATTCTGAAGGATGAGCCCTAATTAGCAAACTGGAAAGTGAGTGTTGAACGCAGAAAGAGAATAGTTTCAGGTTTGTTTTTAGAGACAACGTCTTACTGTGTTGGCCAGACTGGTTTGGAACCCCTGGGCTCAAGCAATCCTCCAGCCTCAGCCTCCCTAGTAGCTGGGACTCACGCCACCACACCTATTTTTTTTTTTTTTTTTTTGTCGAGATGAGTTCTCACTATGTTGGCCAGGCTGACCTGGAACTCCTGCACTCAAGCATTCCTGCCTCAGCCTCCTAGTTGAGGCTACAGGTACCCACCACCACACCTGGCTAGAAGGAAGAGTTTAATAGAAGCCTTGAAAGTGAGAGACAATGTCCAACATGGATGAAGTGCAAAATATTCAATATCGCTGGAGCTTTTGGGGTTTAGGAGAAAGGCTGCAGATATATAATAAGCAGAAGGTAGATCATGACTCTTTGAAAATAAACCATGGTAAGTAAGGGCTGTGGACTTCTCACTGAGGACAATGGATAGATATGTGTATGTTTCTTTTTTTGAGTCAAAGCACTTTTAATCACAAAAAATATTTTTGAAAATTTTTTGACCTCTTTTATTTAACACAAAACAGAACTGTTCATAGTCAGTGCCCCCTCAGCTGGATCAGCTTGGCCTAACCACTTGGAATATAGATTGTGATCCCTAGATCAAACAACTTTTTTAAAGGCAAAAGGTATAACTAAAGCCAAAAAAGACAATAAAATGGAATACTAGGCTGGGCACGGTGGCTCATGCCTATAATCCCAGCGCTTTGGGAGGCCGAGGTGAAAGGATTGCCTGAGGTTCAAGACCAGCCTGGGCAACTCGGTGAGACCTCATCTCTACAATAAATCAAAAAATTAGCCAGGCGTGGTGGCACGTGCCTGTAGTTCCAGCTACTTGGAAGGTTGAGGTGGAAGGATCACCTGAGCCCAGCAGGTAGAGGCTGCGGTGGCCGGGGGCATGCCATTGCCCTCCAGCCTGAGTGACAGAGTGAGACTCCAACTCAAAAAAAAAGAAAAGAAAATGGAATACTAAATAATACTTGATTAATCTGAAAGATGGAAAAAATGAACAAAGCATGTGGCACAATAGAAAACAGCAAGATAGAGGCTGTAATACAGAATGATCTATGACAGAAACAAAGAACCAACTATCACATGTTCTCACTCATAAGTGGACCTTGAACAATTATTGTAATGCTATAAGAAAGATTGGCAGTAGTGGGAAACTGCTAGGGGAGGGTGGGGGCAGGATTGGCAGTAGTGGGAAACTGCTGGGGGGGGGGCACATCTCATCACCAAGGGTACCTGCATAATGAACACTTGTATACCTAACCCTGAATTGTACCCTATATATTTAAAATAAGAAAACAGCAAGAGAGTTGACATAAAGCCAACCATATCAATCACTGCATTAAATGTAAATTGACTAAATATCAATTGTTCAGCTTTCTTTGTTAATGATTTCTGCTTGAATTTAAAAGTTCATCAAACTGGATAAAGCTAGAATCAAGTTTATAATGTTTGCCAGAGACACACTTTAAATAGAAAGACAAGTGGTTAAAGCTAAAAATAGGAATAAAAATACCATGGAAAGAATAATCATAAGAAAGCTGAAGTGTTCATATTAATATCTGACATAGTAGGCTTCCAGACAAAAAGGATTACCAAAAATAAAAAGGTGCATTTTATAACAATAAAATGATTAATTCCTCAGGATGACAATCTTAAAAGTTTATGCTCATAATAACAACATAAGCAGAAACTGACAAGAGAGAAATACAAATCCACAATTATAGGTGAAAAATTTTACAACCCTCTCTCAGTAATAGAATAGATCAAAAGACACTAAAGATCAGAAGGTTTGAACATTATGAAACAATTTAATCTAATTGACATTTATAGAACATCATACCCAATACTGCAGAATCCAATTCTTTTCAAGTGCATGTGAAATTACGATACACCATATGCTATAAACAAGTCTGGCCATAAACAGTCTCAATAAGTTTCAAATAATTGAAATAGAGTGCATTCTTCAATTACAACGAAATTCAAGCAGAAATCATTAACAAAGAAAGTTGAGCAATCCACAGATATTTAGAAACTATGTAACATATGCTAAATAA